CATATCTTCTCCTGGCCGATATTTGTGTTTGACTCACAAATCACCCCTCCATTTCACCCCGCGAATCGCAGACATCCCACCCCGGCTTCACTACCTACCCAGCTACGGCCGCCCACGACTGTGACTCCGACCGGTACACCTCCTAGTAGATATGGCCCCTCTTTCTACAGGCTACGCGCCTGATCTCGAGAAATATCTTCGGTCTCTCAAGGGTCAAGCACTGGAATCCTCTGTCGAGAGCCTCATCTGGTGAGACACCCGCCAAGTCCTTTGCCAAGATTCTCGTTACTAAAGTGTTCGTGATACCTTCAGTCTCCTCAAGCGACGACAAATCAAGGGCTCTGAGCCCTGCGCCGTCGCTACAGCTCACATTCTACTCCAAGTCGTAGCCCGATCGAAATGGTTCAACGTTGAGAGCTTGATCGACAACGTCTCGCGTATTGGCCGTCGCCTGGTCGAGGCTCAGCCCAAAGAGCTCGTCATTGCCAATATTGTGCGCCGAGTCCTAGGCCTCATCCGCGACGAAGCTGCCGAGGACAGAAACGAGGGTGCGAGCGAAACTCCCAGTGACGCCCAGATCACACCAACCGATGCTGTCCCGAATCCAGATGCCCTTTCTCACCAATGGCCTCCTTCGACATATGGCAAGCAAGATTCTGCCGGCGACTATATCACCAACAGCGCCAAACCCCCTCCCGCTCGGCCAGGCCCACTCTCCTCTTACAGCTCCGTGAACGTGCCCAAGACTCTCTTCCACCTCCTCTCAGTGTCTACACCCGGCGAGCTCGCGCCCAGCAGCCAGGGTTCGCCCCTAGGTCTTTCAGGGGCATCAACTCCTTCATGGAGGGCCCCTTCGGCTCAGGTTCATGCTTTGAGATCAGAGGTCATCGACGGTATTGAGGAAATCAAGGATGAGATCAGTTCTGTGGACGATCAAATCGCCGCCTTGGCCGATGTTCAAATTCACCCTGGTGACTACGTGCTCATTCATCAACCCTCACCTACAGTCGAGCGATTCATTCTTCGCGCAGCCCTGAAGCGCCGATTCACAGTTCTCATCGCGACCGAGCCACCGAAGAAGCAGACCCCAGAAGTTCCCAATGCTTCATTCCGCAAGAAGCTTGCTTCCGCTGGTATTACAGCGATCAACATCATGAATGGAGGGCTAATGGCATACATGTCCCGAGTGGACAAGGTCATTCTGGGGGCGCACTCGATTGTCGCCAGCGGCGGTGTTATGGCTGATGCAGGTGCTGCAGCCATTGCTCGCGCCGCAAAAGAGCGAGGACGTGCTGTCATCGTCCTCGGCGGCGTGTACAAACTCAGCCCTGTGAACCCGTTTAGCGGAGAGCTTCTGATTGAGTGGGGAGACTCTGCCAGCTTTGTCAACTTTGCGGATGGGAACATGGTGAACAGTGTCGAGGTTCGGACTGCCCTGAATGAGATGGTCCCTCCAGAGTTGATTGACATATACATCACCAATTTGTGAGTCAAGAGGCCGTTGTGCAATGCAAGCAACTAATTTTTATACAGGGGAACACACTCAAGAGATCACTTGTCCAGTCTCATCGCAGATCATTACAAGTCGGAGGATGTCGAATTTTTTCTGAACAACGAATGAGGGAGGAATATTAAAAACCAAAGGACAAGAGAACGTCGCAAAAGTTGTGCCATTCATTCGTTGATTCATTTCTCGGCGTTGAGCGAGACAGGGCTTCCATTATCCAGTCAAGGAGTGAAGGTGCCATAGAATTTGCTTGATAGCACATATCACCAGCGTTTTAGAATTTCAACCATATTGGGTTGAAATCAGCCTCACACAAATTATCAGATTACGCCGCAACCGCATGCATCGTATGGAGTCACATGCGGTGTGTGAAAGCAATGACGACGACGGCCCAAGTCAAGCATAAGTTTAGAGTATTGCCAGAGTGATCAGAGGCCGGGAATGCGGCACCACAGCTGTCAGTTAGTCTAGGCTCCCTCGCTCGGCCGCGTAAGCACCAGCTCGGCCATTGGACGCAGGGGATCCTGGGGAGTCATAGGGCTGCGAACGAGTTGCGTAACCCCCTGTAAGGCTCCCGCTGTAGGGCATTTTCGTATGGAGTTCGGTGATTTGACCAGGCCGTTGAAAGCGTTCCCTCTTTGGTCATGATGTGAGGTGATAGCTGAGGGTCATTACCCATTACCAAATGTTAAATAAAAGATAATACCCTTCATTTCAGGCTGTCTATGATGCAGTCACATCTAGAAAGCTTTCAAAGCTTACAGTAGATTAATCAGTGTGCTATTGTATCACACCATCAGCACTCACCTATCACCTATTCTCTCTCTCCCTCCTCATTAATACCCCTCCCCCTCCTCCTCTCATCATGACAGCTCCATCACCAGCCATGGACTCTTCTACCAGCAGAAGCAATCCTCCATATCTCACAACTGGCCAGGCCCCAGCAACAGCTGACGATGCGCCACCGCCTCCCTACTCAGAGACTGATATCTACTCGACCTCTTCTCAACCCCCGCACTCACCGCATGCTGGCTCCGTCGCCGGCTCCGGGCACGGCCCCGCAGCTGCCGGTGACGATACCGCCTCCCGCATGTCCTCAACTTCGACTACAGAACCCATCTTCACTCCGCCACTTACACCTCACACCGAATCTAATGCCAACGCAACAACACCTACAACGCACGAAATTCCCCTCTCTCCCAGTGTAGCTCTCTACTTTGAGACCCGGCCTGTTCCTACATCAGCGTCTCAATGGGAGCCTCAGATCCACAGCATCACTGTGAAGCCGAACTCTGTGCCAGATGACATTCCTTATCCGGAGAATTGGGCGACTTCATACGATATCACAGCCCAAGATTGGGCCACCTTTGTCAACTTTCTACTCCCTGACCACGATTCCGTCCGGAATGAGGCTATCCTGGGTGAAAAGGGCAAATCAGAAGATGGCTCAGATATCAAGTCATCTTTTGGTGGCGACGGAAGCGTCAAGTCAGAACGACACACAACTGACCCTAATGAACTCCATCGCAAGCGTGCAGAGGTCGAAGCCATCGTGCAACAGTGGAACTCTGGCTTCTTTGCTCCCCGAAATGTCATGGTAAGACTTCAGCCCGAGGAGCAATCGCATATGCCAGGAGGATGGGAGACCACATTCGACGATCCTCCAGTGCAACTCCCACCACAGGCTGGATCATCCTCTCCCAGAGAGGCGATGCCTCAGCGCAGACCTAGCGGCTGGACAGGATCTTGGGGCGGCTTCCAAGTCGATAATGACAGCGTCCGGTGGGGAGACAGATTTGTTGCTGATAGCAACGGGCTTCGCATAGGAAACATTGTTATGGATAGCAGGGGAATTCGCATGAACGGCCAGCCTGTGGGAGCCCCTTTTGGCCCTGGACCATCCCAACCACAACCTCCGAATGCCCGCAACATGCCCCCTTTTATGCCTGGACACCCATCATGGCATCAAGGCCCTCCTGAAGCCCACACCTTTCCTCAGCGAGGACGAGCAGCTAGCCATGGTCATCAAAGACGCCGCTCTCGATCGTCATCGTCATCTTCTTCCTCGTCCTCAAATTCCTCTTCTAGCTCAGAGTCCATTGGTTCTCTCCCTGACTACGACGATCTCAAGGACCAACAGCTACCCGTTTACATCGCTCGTCTACAACAATGGACAGCCAATCCTCTCGAAGTGCGCAGCAAGGCCGACGTCAAGCAGTTGAAAGCTGAACTTAAAGCCTCGAACACAAATGGCATTGCTCCCAATATCGACCGAAAGGCTCTTAAGGTGCAAGGCAAAGCCCTTTCACAGCAATGGAAGACTTTGAAGCGTCAACAGAAGAGGGAACGGAGAGACCGAAAAAGAGATCTTAAGAAGAAGAAAAAGGCTGAGAAGAGGGAGAGGAGGCAGCAGAAGAGGGAAATGAAGTCTGCTCGCAGAGATCATAGAAGGGGTCAAAGAGGCCGAGGCCATGTTGAGACACCTCCTGTTCCTGTGGTGCCTCCTTTCCAAGTTCCTCCCGTTCATGTCCCTGCAGTCAACGTTCACGTTCCTCCTGTCAACATCCCTGGTGTCAGAGTTCCTCCACCCGCTATCGGTGGCTGGGGATGGTCAGGCAGAGGAGCCGGCCGAGGAGATCGAGGCCATCATAGTCGAGGCAGAGGCCGAGGCTGGGGTGGTTGTGAAAGTCAAGGTCCCTGGGGCAGAAGTCGAGGGGGCTTCCAAGGGGGCTGGCCAAACCACTGTTCATTTGGATCTCCTGGTCGAGGCGGTTTCTTTGGTGGCGGAGAGTGGCCATCTCGCTCAGGAGAAGCTCCTCCAGGGTCATGGCCAGCAGACGCCAACAAAGATGGCAGTATTCCGCCACCAGGTGCGGCGTCAGCTGCAAAGTACAACACTGTCTCTGGAATAGAGACTGAGATTGCAACAAAACAAAAAGATCTGGAGGTGAAAGAAATAACTTTGAGTGAGCGCAGGGCGCTGGAAAAGGAGATTGAGGCTCTGACGGAAACGATGGAGAGAACGAGGCTTGAAGCTGATGAGGCTTATGCCAGAGAGTTGGCTGAACAAATTGATGGTTAATGATGATTTTCAGCTTCTTATGTACTTATATGGACAACCATTTCTTGAACTCTGTATTAGTATATATCATCAAAGCGATTGCCTGTCTCCAAACCATCTATATCGAGTTATATGGGCTACATACCTCACTTCGGCACCGCTATCCTGTCTTTATGCTAGATTTCTTCGTCTCAAGTCTCCTTACTTGCATTTTATACATAGGGATGTGCTTGTGATTCACGTTTCATCGTAGTTCTTGAATCCAACCTTTCACTCTTCAGTTGTACAACAGTGTCCCAAGCGTAGACTCATCGGCATCATAACTACTTATCTTCCGGCTACTCATGACATATTTCACCCGGACATCACAACCTTTTTTATCTATCCGTCTATTAAAACACACATTCCCCCTTTTTCCGCATTCTCTTCTCCTTAATGCTTCGAGTCATCCTTTTCCACCAACGAGCCAACGCCCAAGCTCCTCCCCACGGCAACCTTCATCTTCTTCTTCTTGTCCTTGTCCTTGCCGGCTTCAGGATCGCGTCCAACCTCACCCACGGCTTCACCCTCGTCCTCGGCTTCTTCCTCTTCCTCTGCAAGGGCATCGTCGACTTGCTTCTTGATGCCTCCAAGATCTAGCCGCATGCAGAAGGCGTCCTCGCCGTCGGCGTAGTATTTGGACTCGGTCTTCTCGTTGGTGAAGCCGAGGGTGTTTTCGTAGAGATGACGGGCTGCGGCGTTGGAGACACGGACGTGGAGGGAGACGTATTTTGCCTGGAATGTCTCGACCATGGCCAGTTCTACACATGTCAGTTTCTACTCTGGGGCAGTGAGTCAATATACTTACGACTTTGGCGCATCAACTTCTCAGCAATACCCAATCTTCGGTGTGTTCTCATGACGCTCAGACTCGTAATGTGGCCATGTGGAATGCCGTCTGAAGGCTCCTCCTCCATCTTGGCGAGGACATATCCGACAATCTTGGGGTACTCGTAGGGATCCTTCTTGGGTCGCGAGACGTCGACGGCGACGTAGCTCAGTTGGGGCCATGAGAGGGCATGGTAGAGGTAGTACTTGAGGAAGTAGTTCTCGGGGAGGTTCTCGAGGTTTGCGTGCTGAATGAGGGGCAAGTCTGCGTTTGTGAGGAGGCGGATATCCATGGCTGCTTGCGGCTCTGTTGTGAGGCTCAAGAGAATGTATGTAGGTAGGTAGTATTTGGATGTCGACAGAGAATGGTATAGCTTCAGCCCGCTTCAATTCATCAAGCGGAATCGGCCCCTCGATTCACTCGGCGGGTCAACACCTCGAGTTTGCGGTCAAAAGTCAGCCCGGAGGTCGGTAGTAAAGTCCCCCGCGCCGCAGAGGAAACAACCCCACTACGATGCTCTGAAGCAGAAGACCTAGAACGCTAAGCCAGGCACCAATTGACTGCCCCCTCCACTGTAACACCCGAGAAATATCCCCCCCCCCGTGGAAGCGCACCTGTCAACGACAAGCAATGGCCGCCACGGGACTTGGGCAGAAGGTGGACTATTGAGTTGGTGCTTTGTCTCTATTGGCGCGACAATTGCAGTGGGCTCTTGAGTTGTGTCAGTTGTGTAAACTAACGTGCAAGAGGACCACGACAAGAACGGTCTAAGGACATAGATAGATAAATATATAAGGAGATCATCGTCAGTTGTTGTTCCCGTCTTCTAGACGATGTGTTCTTTTTCCCATTGAACTTCAGTTCTTCTGTTGTCCTGATACCCGGCTCAAAGTGCCTCACTTCACCACCGACTAGACTAACACATCACTATCATGGCTCTTCCTCTTACTGGCAAACTTGCCATTGTTACTGGTGCCTCTCGAGGTATGTTCCCTTGCCTTACCTACGGTCAATTGAGCTCTGCTGACTTCAAAAGGCATTGGTCTGTCCATTACCAAGGCCCTTGCTGCCCGAGGCGCAAACCTCGTCCTCGCCTACACATCCGCCAGTTCTGCTGATTCAACAGCCAAGCTTGCTTCTGAGCTGTCCTCCAAGCATTCTATCAAGGTCGTTCCCGTGCAAGCAGATCTCGGCACAGTTTCAGGCCCTGCCTCACTCATTTCTCAAGCCGCCGATGCATTCAGCCCACTGCGCATCGACATCCTCGTCAACAATGCGGGCGTTGCTTATAATGACAAGGTCCCTGACATCAAGGCCGAGGACTTCACAAAGAGCTACAACGTCAACGTGCTTGGCCCTCTTCTTCTCGTCCAGGCCGCACATCCCTACCTACCCACAGACCGCTCCGGCCGTATCATCAACCTCAGCAGTGTGAGCGCAAGTCTTGGTTTTGTTGGCCAGAGTGTCTACGGCGGCACAAAGGCTGCTCTCGAGGCCATGACACGAACTTGGGCCCGTGAGTTCAGCGAGAGAGCTACCGTCAACGCCATCAACCCCGGCCCCGTCCGCTCCGAGATGTACTCTCGCAACTCGGACGAGTTCAAGCGTCTCATCAAGCCTTTCATCCAGAATGCGCCTCTCATGGCTGCTCGTCCCGGTATTGACGATCCCGAAGTCGTCGAGGAGGCCAAGACTGCCGGTGGTCGAGCAGGTGAAGCTGATGAGATTGCTGGCATCGTCGCTATGCTTGCCAGCCCTGAGAGTGCTTGGTGCACTGGTCAAGTCATTTGCGCCAATGGCGGTATGATCTTTGGTATGCAATAGAGGGTTTCATTATGGAGTAAAGGAAAATAGAAGTCAGGTGTTTCTCAAGGCTCTTTTCTAGTAAATTCTACGCAACTTGTACAAACCCATGTTAGCCAGTAATTGTGGTTGCAGTGAAAGTCAACTTTGAGGAATACTGTGATAAGACCAACTGCCCCGCCATTAGTGGGCGGTGACGCAAATTCTGCCACTCCCTCACACTCAGTCTCACAACTCACTTACAAATCAGTGAGTCAAGACTCAACCCAAAGAACACATAGAGATACCATGGAAACAGGACAAACAGACTCCTCTGATCCCTTCGAGGATGTCCTCAACCTCGAAGAGCGCTTTTACTCAGAAGGCTACCAACAAGGCATCAAAGACGGCGTTCAAGCGGGGCGAATTGAAGGACGATCTTTTGGTATGCAAAAGGGCTTTGAGAAGTTCCTCGAGGGTGGCCGTCTTGCCAGCAAAGCCATCGTATGGGCGAACCGAATACCACACCAGGACGGTACTTCCTCAAGAGATACTTGCACGTTGCCACCACTACCCAGGAACGCAAGACTGGAGAAGAACATCAACACTCTGTATGCTCTCGTAGAGCCAGATACACTTTCGACTGAGAACTCGGATGATGCGGTTCAAGATTTTGATGACCGGGTGAAAAGGGCACAAGGAAAGGCCAAGATTGTCGAAAAGATGGCGGGCAACGGTGGAAGAGAGGCAGCGGGAGCATCACCAACATCCTGAGAACATCGGAATAGATTCGGAGTTTGGTTTGGCGTATGAGGGCTGATATCAGGGTCATCGGTATCAAAGACTTTCATGTTTGAAAAAGGAAAATCATCTGCATTGTCAATGGAAATTCTATACCCTCACTACCTCATAATTTGTATCCACGGCCACCCTCCTCGCTTCTAATTTATTTGAATGATCTGCAAGGGTATCTGCAACAGTCAGTACATCTTCTCTTCACAAGTCACCAGCATCTGCAACGTACCCTTCACCATAAGATGTCTCTGTCACCTCATACTTGTGTACATCCCACTTTCCAGTTGCCAAGGTCTGGCCACTGGGCAGAGGAGGCATGCCATTAACGAACACATCCTTGGTCGCGTCGGTCGCCTTCTCGAGGGCCTTTGCCAAACCAGTCTCGGATTCCTGCTTGACAGCCACGAGCTGCTTCTCACCAGCCTCACCGATGAGCTCGACCTTGGGAGCCGCGGCGCTGCCGACAGTAAGGAGCTGGGCGAACTGAGATTGGTTGACAACGCTGAGCTGGGGGTAGTTTCGGCGGTTGTCGCGCTTCCAGTAGGGGTTGTCGGCAATGTCGCCGGCGGGCAGCGTAACGGGGTCGTCGTACTCAAGAGGAGGGTTGGCGCCGGGCGTAGGGTTTCGGAAGTGAGGGTTCAGAGGGACACCGTTGGATCGCTCAGGGTCGATGGCCAAGAAGCGACGGAAGGCCTCCCAGATGCCCGTCGACTGGAGAGTTTGCTTCTGTACGACAGAGGTTCTATTAGCGGTTGCATGTCATGTATTGGTTTTCATGATGGATGTGTGCGAGGTTATTCGAACGTAGGGGCTGCCATCGAGGGGCCATTGGGAGGCATTTGGTTCGGAGGTGTGTTCTTTGGTCGTACCTTGGCGATGCTGACCACGTTGCTGGCGGCTTTGGCCGCTTGGGACGACATGATGGCGGTGGTAGGCTGATGAAGGCTGTCGTTGAAGTTCGGGTGATGGAATCGATTCCAAGTTGAAATGGCGTCGTGATTATTGGCTGACCAAGTTGGTTTAGCCGAGGCTCCACCGAGAGACATGAACTACCCTATAGACTTATGTGTTGCTTCCGCATACATGGTTTTGGTGTTATAAATGACTATAGAATTTTATAGTGTTACTATTATGTTGAGAGTTAAGCCCTTCTTACAGCGAGGTATGCTGTGACGAAAGGGGACTGCTGTACGTTTGATGCCTACTGCCATGACAACAACGATACCGCAGCTATCTGCTACCTTCGAACTGGCTATCTCGCACTTTGTCTTCGAGCTCCTATGTCACTCATTTGTGAAAATGAAAAGACTTGCCCTAAAATGAAGCTTGGACCATAAGAAACAACTGTGCCATCAAATTATGGTTAAGGATATGTTCCAATGGCTGTCATTTCCACGGGGAGACCTAGTCATCGAAGACTAAATAGTTCTCAATGCATCATCGAACCCATACCATAATCTGAAGCGTGAAATGTTGTAATCACCCGTGTTACTACTGGTCTATGAACCTTTTGAATCTGCAGCAAGAAACGAAAACAAAAACCCTTCAAACAAGGCATATCACAAGTACCGATTGCCGCCACTAATCACCATCATACGTAGGCGTGCGACTGACCACAGGCATCGTTTTTATTTGCTTGCCAGCTCTTCAACCAGTGCCTGGACACGATCAAGAGTGCCCTGGGGGCTTCCAGCCTCAGCGACCAGAATCTTGCCCTCCTTGCTAATGACAAAAACACCGCGCGTCGTTCCCTTGGGAGCCTTCTTGAGACCGATAGCCTCAATGAGCGTTGCCTTGGGGTCGCACAGCAGTGTGTAAGGGAGCTTTTGCTTCTCCTTGAAGGTTGTGTTGGCTTTGGGGGAGTCGGCACTGAGACCATAGATGGCAAGGCCGTCCTTGGTGAGAGGCTCATAAGAGTCGCGGAAGAAGCAGACTTGCTTGGTGCCTGCGGAAGAGTCAGATGGATATTCGGATAAGAAGGCTTTTTCAACTTACAGCCAGGGGTAGATGCCTTGGGGTAGGTGAAGAGGACGACACCAGACTTGCTCTCATCAACAAGCTTCTTCAATGTGGTCTTATCGCCATCATTGGTCTCTATCTCGCCTCCAAAGCCATCAAGGTCCACGACATCGCCAACCTTGGGCTTGCCACCGGTCTTCTTGGACTCCTCCGCCTTAGGTTCCTCAGCCTTGGGCTCTTCTTCAGTCTTCTCCTCCTCCTTAGCCTCCTCAGGCTCCTCCTTCTTCTCTGTGACCTTGGCAGCGGCCTCCTTCACCTTAGCAGCAGCTTTGGGGACCTTGGTAGTCGACTTTCTCTTCACAGGAGGAGGGGGAGGGGCAGTAGAAGCCTTGCGCTTGCGAAGTTCCATAGGCATGGTGATATATGGATGAAGCGAGAGGGTCAATGTAGTTTGCGATAATGCGATGCGATGCGATGCGCTGAATGCGACGAATAAAGAGCAATGCTTGTATCCTGCAGAGTTCGCAGATGAATTTATGATTAAAGACCACGGACGCGAAGAGTACGAAACGCGTAAAGAAAAGGCGGATGAAGGAGACAAAAACAAAAGGTGAGGCTGGGCGCTTGGGGGAAATGGGACTTGCCCGTCCGTCGCAGTCGCATTCGAATGAGGTGCCTCACCCCGGTTTGGGAGGTCTCGTCTGGGGACCAATAGAGGCTGTTCCAGGCCCTTTCAAGCTTCCGGGAGCTTGGACCACAAGCTGCTCGGCAGCGGATGGCGCACGGGCCATGGCCTTTCGCTTAGATGATTTATAGTGGAGACCCTCTGTTCTGCGATTGCGGAGCTGAAAGAAGTAACGGTTGAAGGGATGCTTCAATTGAAGTTATGCTTTTACTGCGCACCAATAGAATACATGCCGAAATCATCCGTTTACTTCCAATAAGATGAGATGAGATGAGATGTTCACCATTTACCTTTAACTTTAAACTGCAATGCCAAGACTTATGACATGAATCCCCGAGTAGGTGTTTTTTATGCAAATTGAAGAAGCTTTGTGTGCTAACTCAATATTTACAGAATTTTATGGCCCCAGGGGCTGCCTTCACTATGGCATGCGTTCTGCTCGTGTGAGTAAAGAAAGTGGCGTGTTCTTCAGAAGTGAAGATATCACATACTTTTTCTATAGAAATAGATCAAAAAGACCCTTGATAGTCTCAGTAATCTGACAATTTGCAGATACACCCGCTCATCAATTCACTCCGCTCGAGACCAAGCAGTACGTCCCTCCACTTAGCTTCATCAATGTCAACTCACAAAAACCCTTGACAGAAATCGTCAAAACTACCAGGGAATGGAGAACATGCACCAAGACGTGGTTCGTCATGAGAGTCCACTGGAGCAGAGTAACTTGTAGCATGCATCTGCGTATAGGAAGGAAATGGAATGCCCCCTGCCACTAGACCTGAGTGTCAATCATTCTGCAGAGCATATGAATTTGAATGTATAGTATTTTTTATGATTTTTTGTCTAGTTTCTCGGAGATACATCATGAAACAAACTCCATTTGAATGCCTGTACTGCTCCGATTTCGCCATGCCTCGACTCATCAGCCCCTTACTGCGACTCAGAAAGTCAAGCTTTCTCTGCCCTTCAAATAAGAGAAGGAAGGGGCTGTGCAGCCATATGCGCCTGCTGTATACATTCCTCTGTGTATATGAAAAATGGAAATGATAGGAACCAAGTCGCCGTAACGTTCGCCACGTATGTCCCATTGTGAACCAGAAAATTGTCTAAGCCTTCAGCCGACTAAGGGTATCTCAGCCTTGCTCCATCTCCTAATCGCATACCTTCCGTGAATTCATGTGTACATTCCTTCAACATGATCGTTCAACTCCTGTGATTCTGACGCTTGCTCAAGCTGAGGGCTGTTAAGGATTTATGACTCCGCCGTAGGGTCGAGCAATAAATGGCGTGCCTCAGCCCTGGCATGGTATAATTGCCTCATGACATATTCGTAAGTCAGCATCGTGACTGTTGCTGCTGGAACAGCTCGCATCATATTAGTACCAAGACCAGCATAGAACGCTCGCCAACCTTCCTCAGCTAGAATGGTTCGAAAGGTGTGGACGACGCCCTGATACTTGGGCTTCTCCACAGGAGTCCTATTCCTGGGGCCTGAACTTGTCACTCCCATCCCTTGAACAAACTCTTCGCCGGCAAGTGGGCGCCGTTGGGTTTGAAGACGGGTTCGGATGACTTCGTGAGGGTATGTGGCAGTACTGGCGAGAATCTTGGATAGAATAGAGGCCCCCAATATTCCAATGACATGTGTTTTATCATCCCCCTCATTCGATTCACCCATTCCCTGACCGGTAAACTTGGTCTTCAAGTACTCGTAGGTCGGGAACTGCACAGCAACATGTGTTAAGCCAAGGAGAGCTGGTGTTAAGCCTGAATAAAATGAAATGAGGCCTTCCGAAGTGTACATCTTGCGAGCTGCATCTAGCGTTGATCGGTAATGCCAGTCGTGCAGTGTTGGTCGGGCAGTTGGTGTGCCCACAGCTTTCGGGTAGTATGTAGAGTGGTGGTCTTGTGTGTTGTGGCGGATATTGCTCTGTGACATGAGCCGAGTTTTGATGACCCATATTGGGTTGGTGACGATTGTACTGCTGGCGCCTGCTACGATAGACGACCAAAAGTTGACTATGTGACTATTATCTGTTTGGTGAAAACAAGGTCAATATGTCGCCCCTCACCGTTGGACCAAGCGCACTTACCAGAATGCTGTGATATATACCCTTTACTCTTGTTATAAACAGTAAACCACACAGCCCATGTTGGCAAATAACCCATTACAATAGGTCCCAGACCGCGGTAGAGGCCTCTGATCCCTTCCTCTCTCCATATGACCTTTGCTGAACCAACGAGACCGTTATACAACTTTGGGTGGCCGACATGTCGTCCCTTATTCAAGGCGGCATAGCCGCCCTGTGCCTGGAGTTTGGTCTTGATGACGTCGAGAGGACATGTCACGACACCTGATGTGAAACCGCCCACTGCGCCGGCGACAGCGTTGAACTGGGTATCTGAGGCGTTGAGTGCCCATCGGTGTAAGGGGGTGACTGTCGTGGAGTGCATTGGAGCGTCGGAGGATGCGTAACCGTAAGATGATGCAGCATAGTCTGAAGACGGCGACTGGGCAGCTTCGGGAGGCACCTGATCAGTTGACGACATCCCAGTCGTCCTTTGTCAAAGATTTTGTCACTAGTCGTAGGTTTTGATAACTCGATGCGTGCGATATGGACTCGAGGATGAAATGTGACCGAATTATCATCTGCCGTTATCGCTCAATCGTGTAGACTATCCCGGGGTGCTCGTCCTCAGATATCTCGACTCGATATATCTTTTGTCTCCCGGTCCGGCGCAGACGTCAAAGTTGATGTATTTCGGGAGCCGGGATCAACCCTACGACAAGTCCTACGGGCCGTAGATTGTTCGCAACCTAGTAATCCGCTATCACAGTGATCCCTCAATGTCCCAAGCCGATTCCGCCCCCAAAAAATCAAAAAGTTCCGCCTGTTGAGAGGAACTGACGTCTGCTGCTGTTGGAATCTCGCAGCCGGTACCAAGGTACTGCGGGGGAACGCTCCCACGCGCCGTGACCGACCGCTTCCCGCTCAGCGAATGGCGCCGGCCATTGACTTATAAACTCGAAAAAAGCGATAGCCTGGGGACCAGAGAAACCGATGGTAGTTGGAGGCTGACGCTGAGAGTGAGGGCAGGAAAAGGACGAAAAAAAAAAAAGGTTGGGATGATAGAGAGCAAAGAGTTGTATGAAGTTGGAATAAGTGAGAGGAAGTAGAGGGAAAGAAGAATCAAGTTTCCCCGATGGCGAAACGGAGCGGATGGAGAAAGCAGCGCGGGCAACGGCGGAGGGAACGACAGGCCCTGCACTGGACGGGGCGGGCGGTTGATCAACTGGAGGACGCCCTAGATGCAATACAACCCACTATAAATGCACTACAACAGCACCTGCAGGGTTTGCCTCTGTGTTATTTTGCTGATATGGAGTCCGCTGAATGCTTGTTCAACAAAATACCGAACTATAATCCAGGGCACAAAACGCTATCATATTGGTTATCTGGCTGAATTTCTCTTCTAATCCGGACTTGTCATCTTTTTTTTTTGCACCGCTGCAAGCCGGTATTAGCGGAGACAATAGATAGCTTTGCAGTCAAAACGAAAATGACGCAGTGTGAACTAACAGACACTAGAGAAAAATAGATAGTTTTATGTGCAACAGAGAGATACACAAATGGGAAGGGCAATGTGATTGCATATGGCATGAGAGCACGAGCATTGGCAGCTGCAAGTTGCGTGCAAGGCCTGGTATCTCTCGAGGACAAGCTCCGATACCGATCTTGAACCCTTGCTCGACGTGGGATGACGACGTTGGGCGGTTGTATTCCGAGGCTTGAGGTGCAGGATGATATTATCCGAGGCATGAGATGAGTGTGATTACATATTCCATACGTGGTATCAGGCGTTTATCTAACATGAAAAGATATTGACAGTCACAAACTCATGCTTCATTTACACATGTTCATTCAAATTGACCGTTTCATCCCGAACCGGTTTCCCACGGGACAGGGTCGTTTCAAGGGACCCCCACATCGTCATTCTCCATGCCATATGCATCACCCGCCACAGATTGTGCCACATCACAATCTAATCTCAAACGCCACACATGGATCTTAGTCATCGATTTTTGGGGTCCGTCTGCCCGATCGGAACCTGGTAGGCCAGCCAGAGAGCGACAAAGGAATGGTCATCAAGACCACGTGACGTCCCGAGCTCTCCCAGGAAGTTTTGCAATTGCTCGCTCAGCCCATCCCCAATTCGCGCCATTTCCGACGAAACGACGACGGCGATAACCACGAATTCCAACCCCCAGCCTCGGAACGTGTCAATCGATCCTCCTCCAAAATGAAGTACTCGCTCGCTCCCTTCATCCTCCGCAGGCCGTGGCTCGCCCGCCTCTTCAAGCCCGCCGCTACCTGGTACGTCAACGCCGCCGGCTACCGCCAGCTGGGCCTCAAGTATGCGATCTCCCCCCCCTCCCGCGAACGCCAATTGGACCTCGAAATGTTGGAATTGGCGATACTTGCGGAAATTTGTGGCTAACCAGAGTTTTCAATTGGTTGATATAGATATGATGATCTCCTCGAGGAGGAGAACGAAGTTGCCCAGAAGGCTCTCAAGCGTCTCTCCAACGTCGAGTCTTACGAGCGCATCTACCGCATCCGACGTGCTGTTCAGTGCAGTTACCAGCACAAGCTCCTCCCCAAGGACCAGTGGATCACCACCGCTATGGTATGAATGACGACACCCTCCGATCGAATCTCTCCGCCGGTACCTCCTCGGCAAACAAGAGTTGACGATCCCGAGATATCACGAATGGATGGAATGTCATGGACTAACTCATCACGCTCTACAGGACAAGCCTTACCTCCAGCCCCTGATGGAGGAGGTCGCCTCTGAGAAGGCCGAGAAGAACGAGCTCGACTCCATCGCCGTCGTCCGAAAGCACTAAATCATTATTGGGTCTCGGGTTGAAAGATCAGAAGGGGGAGGTTGAATAGTAGCAGGACGGTGGTTGAGAGGGAATTGGCGCCTCCTAGAAGAATGGTGGCCACACCTCAACGGACTAGACAGTTCCCGTGTATCCTATGTATAGATGTCGTCTGACTTGACTCATTTTGCACATACCGTCATGACCCCCAAAATAATTGCACGCATGTGAATATTTCATAAAACTGGCTCATGCACAATTTTGTAATTTACAATGTACCTGCTGAGAATGACCTCGCGAGAAGTTCATCTCCAGGCAACTCTTGTGTCGGTGTCCAAGGAACTCTAACAGAAGATGCTGATATACCGCTTCATCCAGAGGTCCCAAGCTTCTTACACGGATCCCATGTACGCTAGATGATCAGCCTTTCACAAGCATCATCTTGCCAGCGCCTCTTCTTTCCCAGTCCAATCCGTAGGTATCCCTTCCTCGACGCCATACGCCGAGCATCAAGCTGGATACCGAATATCTCCGACATGCAGCTTTTCCCTAGTTTTTCACCTCCCAACATGCGACTCCGTCTGAAAATACTGCTTTTCCCATCCAAATATGGCCGTTAAGCTCGTGTTAAGTCGTAACATAACGCCCTCCATGATCAATGCTCAACATGGCGGCATAGTGAGTGTGATAGATAGTGAATAGGTAAAGGTGATTAAATCCTTACACTCGCTGATAGAAGAGCAGGTAGGCAACCTTGTTGTCCTTGATGCTGTCCTTGACCTGCTTAGCCTTAGTACTGCCGTTACTAGTACCGTTGGCAACACTGCTCCATTTCTTCGCTCCTCCGGCGGGGCTTGTGACCTTGCTCCAGCCGTCATCATCTCCGGC